GCCCACCACCACACTCAGCTAATTTTTTGTATTTTTAGTAGAGACGGGGTTTCACCGTGTTAGTCAGGATGGTCTCGATTTCCTGACCTCGTGATCCACCTGCCTTGGCCTCCCAAAGTGTTGGGATTACCGGCATGAGCCACCCCATTATTTTGTCATCCAGGATATGGTCTGTTCTACAAGCACTTGAAAAGAAAGTGTTCTACTGTTGTTTGGTGGAGTATTCCATGAATGTTGATTAGCTCCTGTTACTCCATATGTGCTATTATGACAAAATACCTTAGTTTGGGTAATTTATAACAACAGAAATTTACTTCTCATGTTCAGGAGGCTCAAAAGTCTAAGATCAAAGTACCAGCAGTTTCAGTGTTTGGTGAGGGCTCAGTCTCTTCTTCCAAGATGGTACTTTGAATGCTACTTCATCTGAGGGGTTTAACACTGTATCCTCACATGGCAGAAGGGCAGAAGGAACCCACTCCCTCAAACCTGTTTTTTTTTTTTGGGGACAGAGTCTTATTCTGTCACCCAGGCTGGAGTGCAGTGGCACAATCTCAGCTCACTGCAACCTCTACCTCCTGGGTTCAAGCCATTCTCCCGTTTCAGCCTCCCAATTAGCTGGGATTATAGGCGCCCACCACCACGCCCAGCTAATTTTTTATTTTTAGTAGAGATGAGGGTTTGCCATGTTGGCCAGGCTGGCTTCAAACTCCTGACCTCAGGTGATCGGCCCACTTTGGCCTCCCAAAGTGCTGGGATTAAAGGCATGTGCCATTGTGCCTGGCCCTCAAACCTTTTTTAAGGGCCTTAATCTTATTCATGACGGCTCTGTACTCATGATTTAATCATTTCCTAGAGGCCCTACCTTTTAGTATTGTCACATTGGCAATTTTCAACAGATGAATTTTGAAGGACACAGTCAGACCATAGCTTACCGCCTTTGGCCCCCAAAATTTATGTCCTACTCTCATGCAAAATACATTTATCAGATGCAGTTGCTCACGCTTGTAATCCCAGCACTCTGGGAGGCTGAGGCAAACGGATCACTTGAGGTCACGAATTCCATGCCAGCCTGGCCAACACAGTGAAACCCTGTCTCTACTAAAAATAAAAAAATTAGCTGAGTGTGGTGGTATATGCCTATAATCCCAGCTACTTGGAAGCTGAGGCACGAGAATTGCTTGAACCTGGGAGGTGGAAGTTGTTGACAGTGAGCCAAGATCGTACCACTGCACTTCAGCCTGGACAACAAAGGGAGACACTGTATCAAAAGACAAAAATCAAAAACACATTTATCCATCCCAAAAGTCTCAACTTATTCCAGCACCAGCCCAAAACTATAAAGCTCAGAGTCTCACCTAAATCAGATATGGATGAGACTCAAGGCATGACTCATCCTGAGACAAATTCTCCTCCAACTGTGAGCCTGTGAAATCAAATAGATGTGCTTCCAAAACACGATGGGCCAGGAATAGGATTGACATTCTCATCCCAAGAGGGAGAAACAGGCAAGAAAAAAGGAGTAATAGGTCCCAAGTAAGTTAAAAACCCAACAAGGCAAACATTAACTCTTGAAGCTTGAGAATAATTCTTGACTCAGTATCTTGACTTCTGGATGCACTGGGATGGGGGTTGGACCCCAAAGCCCCAGGGCAGCCCTACCCCATGGTTTTGCTGGACACAGCCAACCCAGCAGCTCTCAGGAGTTGAAGAGAGGTACCTGGACTCTCTCAGGCAGGTATTGCATGCTGATGGTTCTACAGGTCTGAAGTCTCAGGGATGGCCCTGCCCATATAGCTCTGTAACAGCCTTTTATTGTTAGCCTTAGATAGCAGATAACTACCACTGAGGTTTTGTTTTTTGAGATGGAGTCTCGCTCTGTCACCCAGGCTGGAGTGCAGTGGCGCGATCTCGGCTCACTGCAAGCTGTGCCTCCTGGGTTCACGTCATTCTCCTGCCTCAGCCTCCCAAGTAGCTGGGACTACAGGCACATGCCACCACGCCTGGCTAATTTTTTGTATTTTTAGTAAGAGATGGGGTTTCACCATATTAGCCTGGATGGTTTCGATCTCCTGACCTCCTGATCTGCCCACCTCAGCCTCCCAAAGTGCTGGGATTACAGGCGTGAGCCATGGCACCCAGTTTTCGTTTTTTTTTTTGAGACAGGGACTCACTCTGTCATCCAGGCTGGAGTGCACTTGGCACCATTATGACTCATTACAGCCTCAAACTCCCTGGTTCAAGCAGTCTTTCTGCCCCAGCCTCCTGAGCAGCTGGGACTACAAGCATGTACCACCACACCCAGATCACTGAGTTGGTTAGTGATACGATGTCATCTTAGCAGGTTAGTTCTTCTGCCCTTTTTGTAGAACATAATCCATGGGTAGGTTTTCTGGCCTTAGAAAATATATCTACTCCACATAAAGAAAAAAAAAACAAATAGGTAATGTATCTACTGCAAGCCTGGGCACACTGGCTCATGCCTGTAATCTCAGCACGGTGGGAGGCCGAGGCAGGCAGATCACTTGAGATCAGGAGTTTGAGACCAGCCTGGCCAACATGCTAAAATCTCATTTCTACTAAAAATGCAAAACAATTAGCTGGGCCGGGTGCAGTGGCTCACACCTGTAATCCCAGCGCTTTGGGAGGCCAAGCCAGGCGGATCAGCTGAGGTCAGGAGTTCAAGACCAGTCCAGCCAACATGGTGAAACCCTGCCTCTACTAAAACTACAAAAATTAGCCAGGCGTGGTGGTGCATGCCTGTAATCCCAGCTACTTGGGAGGCTGAGGCAGGAGAATTGCTTGAACCTGGGAGGCAGAGGTTACAGTGAGCCAAGATTGTGCCACTGCATTCCAGCCTGGGCAACAGAGTGAGACTCTGTCTCAAAAAAGAAAAAATTAGCCATACATGGTGGTGTGCACCGTAATCCCAGCTACTCAGGAGGTTGAGGCAGGAGAATCCCTTGAACTTGAGATGTGGAGGTTGCAGTGAGCTGAGATGGCACCATTGCACTTCAGCCTGGGAAACACAGTGAGACTCCATCTCAAGAAAGCAAACAACAGGAAAAAAAAAAAAAAAAGACTGTGACTGTTGCAGATCTAAAAAGATCTTTGTGCCCGCAACTTCAGAAAGCTGCTCAGAAGGACATACTCTCTAATGCCCTCTTCAGAGACATGGCCGACATTGATAATGAAAAAGGTAGAACCTCCCCACAGGCAGAGTGAAGAATCTGGATGAAGTACCTCCAGAAAACAACACAAGAACCTCATCAATATCACTATCCCCTAGTAAGGGGATAGTCCTATCATTTGCCAAGTAATACTTAAGATTTTGGCTGGGTGTGCTGGCTTACACCTGTAATTCCAGCGCCACAGGAGGCTGAGGTGGGTAGATGGCTTTAACCCAGGAGTTCAAGACCAGCCAGGGCAACAAAGTGAGACCCTGTCTCTACCACAAAAAATAAAAAAAAAAAAAAAGGAAAAAATTGCTACAGACTGCAGACCTATTCCACTATTGCTTGCTGGATATGCGAGGTGATATAATTTGTCTTTTCAGTTCACAGGTCTCTAGATGAAGGGCCACATCTGGACCTGATATAAAAGACTGAACTTTGAAAAAAGTGTAACAATTGGATGACACTATTAGCTTATCTCTTATCTTCCTTGGGAAGTGTCTTTTGCATGCACAATGCAGAAAGGAAGTTAATATTTATGGTCAATATAGCTGAGTTTAATAGATTGTATTCTTTCAGTAAAATACCCACTTTTTTTCTCCAACTCTGAAATCCACCACTCCCCTGCCATGGGAGAAGTATACTTTCCTGCCTCAATCATGTCAGGTTTCATCAATATCAGCCCCTTTCAAACAGAAACTTTAATCATACTGGTATAATTGGACTTGACATCATAAGCTCCTGCCCTGTGCCATGAGGATGTTTCAGATTGTGGCTGTTCCCTCAGCCCGAGTCCTAGAATTATGAGCTGAAGGACAGACCCAAAACAGAAATGTCTGTTATAAGCTACTGAGATTTGGGGTTATTATTCAGCATGATTTTAGGAAAAGCTAATATAATTTATCTCTCAGAATTGATCCTTAAGAAGGAACTTGGCCAGGTGTGGTGGCTCACACCACCACTTTGGGAAGCCAAGATGGGTGGCCTTGAGATCAGAAGTTCACTTTCCAGCACTTTGGGAGGCCAAGATGGGTGGCCTTGAGCTCAGGAGTTTGAGACCAGCCTGGGCAACATGGCAAAATCCCATCTCTACCAAAAACACAAAATTAGCCAGGCGTGGTGGCACGTGCCTGTGGTCCCAGCTACTAGGGAGGCTGAGGCAGGATCACTGCTTTAACCCAGGAGGCAGAGGTTGCAGTGAGCTGAGATCGTGCCACACTGCCCTCTAAACTGGGCAAAAGAGGCAGACTCTGTCTCAAAAAAAAGAAAAGAAAAGAAAAGAAAACAAATGCTAGCATCATTTCAAGTTTCACGTCCTTCTAAAAAGAATGTGGAGGCCAGGTGCAGTGGCTCATGCCTGTAATCCCAGCAGTCTGAGAGGCCGAGGCAGGCAGATAATTTGAGGTCAGGAGCTCAAGACCAGCCTGACCAACATGATGAAACCACTGTCTCAACTGAAAATACAAAAAATTAGCTGGGCATGGTGGCCCACACCTGTAATCTCAGCTACTCAGGAGGCTTAGGCATGAGAATTGCTTGAACCCAGGAGGCGGAGGTTGCAGTGAGCTGAAATCGCACTAGTGCATTCCAGCATGAGTGACAGAGCGAGCCTCTGTCTCAAGGAAAAACAAAAAACAAACAAACAAAAAAACAATGTTGAAAATACTACATTAGCTGTAAAAATGTTCAACAGCTCCAAATTAATAAAGTGCTCAAATTAAGAGTTTTTCAAAAAATGGACTGCAATGCTATAAAAAGTGACAAGTTCAATCTTGTAATTACTAAGATACAGTACTATTAAAGGGCACCAATTAAAAAAATAAGATAGAGTAACATTAATTCCTTTTACTTCTTAACTTATAAAACTGATAGGAAAAAAATGCAAACTAGGCCAGGTTCAGGGGCTTACGCCTGTAATCCTAGCACTTTGGTAGGCCGAGGCGGCAGATTGCCTGAGCTCAGGAGTTCCGAGACCAGCCTGGGCAACATGGTGAAACTCCGTCTCTGCTAAAATACAAAAAATTAGCCGGGCATGGCGGTGTGCACCTTTAGTCCCAGCTACTCAGGAGAACTGCTTAAACCTGGGAGGCAGAGGTTAAAATGAGCTGAGATCGCACCACTGCACTCCAGTCGGGGCGACAGAGTGAGACTCCGTCTCAAAAAAAAAAAGCAAACTAAATATAGAAATATAAAAAGAAAAAAATTACTTTCAATCCCACTACAAATAACTAACCACAACTGTACAACTGTAAATGTTATGGATATGCTTTTCTAAAATTATGGTGGACAAACAAATGCATAGAAATATTCCAAGAGTTGGGATTGCCAAAAATGTAAAATATGTCAGAAATGAATTCTTATTACATCATGTCGACATTCTTCTCAAGCTGCAGAACAATTTCCTTAAGGGCAGGATCCTCTGCCCAGTTGACCTTACTCCCCAAAATAAGGTTCTGTAAAGAAAAAAAATTGTTTTAAAGTTACAAGTACTTTAAAAATTTAACAAGATTTTAGAATATAATTTTTCACTAATCTTACCAAATAATTAACATTTACTACATGTGTAGCTCTGTGATAAGAAAAAAATGATAATACATTCTTCCTTTTTTTTTTGAGTTGAGTCTCGTTCTGTCACCCAGGCTGGAGTGCAATGGTGTGAACTTTGGCTCACTGCAACCTCCGCCTCCCGGGCAGAGGATCACCTGAGGTTGGAGTTCGAGACCAGCCTGGTCAACATGGCGAAACCCTATCTCTACCAAAAATATAAAAATTAGCCAGGTGTGGTCAGATGCCTATAATCCCAGCTACTCAGGAGGCTGAGGCAGGAGAATCACTTGAACCCAGGAGGAGGTTGCAGTGGGCCAAGATCACGCCACTGCACTCCAGCCTGGGCTACAGAGTGAGACTCCGTCTGAAAAAAGGAAAAAGGAAAATCAAGACCTTAAGCATTAGGTATACACACATTCCAAATATATACAAACAGACCAATATTAAACATTGAATTATTTCATCAAGATCAAAAACTAGCTGAAAGTTAAGTCAATACTGTATAATAGCATCATCAAATAGTTGGCCAGGTGCAGTGGCTCATGCCTGTAATCCCAGCAATTTGGGAGGCTAAAGTAGATGGATCACCTAAAGGTGAGGGGTTTGAGACCAGCCTAGCCAACATAGTGAAAACTCGTCTCTACTCAAAATTAAAAAATTAGCCGGGTGTGGTGGTGGGTGCCTGTAATCCCAGCTACTCAGGAGGCTGAGACAAGAGAATTGCTTGAACCAGGAGGCACAGGTTGCAGTGAGCTGAGATTGAGTCATTTCACTCCACCTTGGGCAACAAGAGTGAAACTCCATCTCAAAAAACAAAAAAAGTACTTTACTTTTCTTGCTAGTTTATATAAATGTTACCTGGAACACATGTTGAATAACGGTAGTAATTTTTATCTCCATCTGTAGGTTTTGTCGTATGATCTTTATCCTGTCTGAGTTTTCCATACTGTCCAAATCAATCTTCTGTTTGTTCTTTTCAGTCTGTATTTCTAAAAGCTTACTTTCTGAAGCTTGTTTTAATTCTGTTAGGTTAAAAATAAAATAATATACCATATATAATACCTCTACAAAGTAGGATCTTGAAAAATTATGAAGCAGATCACTTCTTGGTTATTTTAGTCAAGAGAAAAATTTTAATGAGCAGCATTTTAGGTTGCAATTTTATTATGATCTGAAAATGACTTCCCTGGTGCAAAATAACAATATTTTAATTTTGTACTTAGCAATGCCCTTAGTGAAATGTTCCAGGTATTTCTGTATGACAATAACAGCTGTCTACAGATATTTCAAGTGGTATCATGTATCAAGGGCTTATTTTGGGTTGCCAAAACAGGTAGGAAATACATATATCTTTTCCTTCTTTAATTACAAAAATGAAACATATAAACATTTATTTTATTATTATTATTATTTTTGAGATGAAGTCTTACTCTGTCACCTAGGCTGGAGTGCAGTGGTGCGATCTCGGCTCACTGCAGCCTCCGCCTCCCAGGAGTTCAAGTGATTCTCCTGCCTCAGCGTCCTGAATAGCTGGGATTACAGGCACCCGCCACCACACCTGGCTAATGTTTGTGTTTTTAGTATAGATGGGGGTTTTGCCACGTTGGCTGGGCTGGTCTCCAACTCCTGATCTCAAGTGATCCACCCACCTTGGCCTCCCAAAGTGCTGGGATTATAGGCATGAGCCACCATGCCCAACAAAATAAGATTAATTTTAAATGAAAAGTAAGCTTCCTTGGCCGGGCTCACGCCTGTAATCCCAGCACTTTGGGAGGCTGAGGTGGGCAGATCACCTGAGGTCAGGAGTTTTGAGACCAGCCCAGCCCAGCCAACATGACGAAACCCCATCTCCACGATAAATACAAAAATTAGCTGGGCATGGTGGCACGTGCCTATAATCCCAGCTACTCAGGAAGCTGAGGCAGGAGAATCACTTGAACCCAGAGGCAGAGGTTGCAGTAAGCCGAGATTGCACCACTGCACTCTAGCCTGGGCAACAAGAGTGAAACTCTGTCTCAGGAAAAATAAAGTAAGATTCCTCTCTCCAGGGATAAACATCATCAACCATTTTTTGTATTACTGGAAATAGTCTAAGAATTAAACTACTTGGAAATATAAATGGATGTATTTCAGGGGGGCCTGTTCTTCAACATTAATGTATTAAATGAGGTTGAAATACAGTGGAAAAAATGAATCATCAAAAGGGTATAGCCTGAGCATGGGTGGCTCATTCTTATAATCCCAACACTTTGGAAGGCAGAGGCAGGAGAATCGCTGTAAGTTCAAGACCACCCTGGGCAACATAGCAGGATCCTGATTCTACTTAAAAAAACGTGGGGGGAATAAACAAGATGACCAATACTACTACTGACCCTGAGATTATTTGCTAACAGGCAAATCTATATAATGTTTACAAATGACAAATCTGAGCAGGGTGCAGTGACTCACACCTGTAATCAGCACTGTGGGAGGCTGAGGAGGGTGGATCACCTGAGGTCAAGAGTTGGAGACCAATCTGGCCAACATGGTGAAACCCATCTCTACTAAAAATATAAATTAGCAGGGCATGGTGGCAGGTGCCTGTAATCCTGGCTACTCAGGACGCTGAGGCAGAAGAACTGCTTGAACCCGGGAGGCGGGGGTTGCAGTGAGCCGAGATTGCACCATTGCACTCCAGCCTGGGTGACAAGAGCAAAACTCCATCTCAAAAAACAAACAAACAAACAAACAAACAAACAAAAAAACACCAGCTAGGCGCAGCGCTTATGCCTGTAATCTCAGCACTTTGGGAAGCTGAGGTGGGTGGATCACCTGAGGTAGGGAGTTCGAGACCAGCCTGACCAACATGGAGAAGCCCCATCTCTACTAAAAAGACAAAATCAGCTGGGAGTGGTGGCGGGTGCCTGTAATCCCAGCTACTCAGGAGGCTGAGGCAGAATTGCTGGAACCTGGGAGGCAGAGGTTGCAGTGAGCCAAGATCATGCCATTGCACTCCAGCCTGGGCAACAAGAAACTCTGTATCCAAAAAAAAAAAAAAAACAAAAAAACAACCAACAAATCTGGCTGGGCACAGTGGATTGATCACGTCTGTAATTCCAGCACTCTGGGAGGCCAAGGTGGGCAGATTACTTGAGCCCAGGAGTTTTTTTTTTTTTGAGACAGAGTCTCACTCTGTCACCCAGGCTGGAGTGCAGTGCAGTGGTGCGATCTCGACTTACTGCAAGCTCCGCCTCCCGGGTTCACGCCATTCTCCTGCCCCAGCCTCCCGTGTAGCTGGGACTACAGGCGCCCGCCACTTCGCCCAGCTAATTTTTTGTATTTTTAGTAGAGACGGGGTTTCACCGTGTTAGCCAGGATGGTCTCGATCTCCTGACCTCGTGATCCGTCCGTCTCGGCCTCCCAAAGTGCTGGGATTACAGGCGTGAGCCACCGCGCCCGGCCGAGCCCAGGAGTTCTATGCCAGCCTGTGTAACATGGTGAACCCTGTCTCTAGAGAAAAATAAACTTAAGAAATCTACAGAAAAAAAAACAATTAGCCAGGCATGGTGGCATGCACCTGTAGTCCTATCTATCAGGGATCCTGAGGTGAAAGCATAGCCTGAGTCCAGGAAGTCGAGGCTGTAGCGCGCCATGAGCATGCCTCCAGCCTGAGTAACAGAACAAGACCCTGTCTCAAAAAACAAAGAAAGAGGCCAGTCACAGTGGCTTATGCCTATAATCCCAGCACTGTGGGAGGTGGAGGCGGGCAGAACACCTGAGGTGAGGAGTTCTGCTGAGACCAGCCTGGACAACATGGTGAAACCCTGTCTCTACTAAAAATACAAAAATTAGCCAGGTGTGGTAGCATGCCTATAATCCCAGCTACTTGGGAGGCTGAGGCAGAAGAGTGGCTTGAATCCAGGAGACAGAGGTTGCAGTGAGTCAAGATCACGCCACTGCACTCCAGCTTGGACAGCACAGCGAGACTATTTCAAAACAAAAACAAACAAAGGCTGGGTGTGGTGGCTCATGCCTGTAATCCCAACACTCTGGGAGGCAGAGGTGGGTGAATCACAAGATCAGGAGTTCAAGACCAGCCTGGCCAAGATGTTGAAACCCCGTCTCTACTAAAAATACAAAAAATTAGCCAGGCATGCTGGTTGGCGCCTGTAATCCCAGCTACTCGGGAAGCTGAGGCAGAGAATTTCTTGAATCCAGGAGGCAGAGGTTGCAGTGAGCCAAGACTGCACCACGGCACTCCAGCCTGGGTGACAGAGCGAGACAGCATCTCACAAAAAAAAAAAAAAAAAGAAAAAAAAGAAATACAGGCCAGATGCAGTAGCTCATGCCTGTAATCCTAGCACTTTGGGAGGCCAAGGCAGGAGCATCACTGAGAGCAGAAGTTCAAGAAAAACCTGGGTAACACAGCAAGATTCTATGTCAACAAAAAACAAAAAAGTTAGCCGGGCATGGTGGAGTACACTTGTATTCCCAGCTATTTGCGAGCTGAGGTGGGAGGATGGCTTGAGCCCAGGAGGTCAAAGCTGCAATGACCTGCAATGAACTATGATCACGCCACTGCACTCCAGCCTGGGTGACACAGCAAGACCCTTTCTCACCAAAAAAAGAAGAAAGAAAAGAAAAAAAAAAGCTTTGAAGACTGATTATCTTTTGATGGAAAATTAAAAAATTTAACTTTTCCTTTGCATACCTTTGTTTCCAAATGTTCTACAGTGTGCATTGCCTTTGATATAAACATTTCAACAGTTTAAATGCAAAAAACCATCTCATGTCATGATAAATTAAGTGAAAAGGCTGTAGATCCATACATATCATCTTATTTAGAAATTATATATGTGTGTGTGTGTGTGTATATATATATACATAAAATGTTTATATGGACATGGAAAAGTCTAGAATGATAAATACCAAACTGTGGTCACACAGAAAACAGGCATGACTTTTGTGTTATAATTTACCACATCATTTTATTTTTCCCCTTCTGAGAATGTACTAATTTTGTGATTTAAAGTTCTAAAATAATGAGGCACAGCACGGTGGCTCATGCCTGTAATCCCAGCACTTTGGGAGGTTGAGGCAGGTGGATCACTTGAGATCAGGAGTTCGAGACCAGCCTGACCAACATGGTGAAACCCTGTCCCTACTAAAAATACAAAAATTTGACCAGGTGCAGTGGCTCATGCCTGTAACCAGCACTTTGAGAGGCCGATGCAGGCGGATCATCTGAGGTTGGGAGTTCAAGACCAGCCTGGCCAACATGGTGAAATCCCACCTCTACTAAAAAAATACAAAAACTAGCTAGGTGTGGTGGGACACACCTGTAATCTCAGTTACTCTGGAGGCTGAGGCACAAGAATCACTTGAACCCAGGAGGCAGAGGATACAGTGAGCCGAGATTGTACCACTGCATTCCAGCATGGGTGACAGAGCGAGATTCTTTCTCCAAAAAAAAATACCATATTAAAGAATTAAAAAAAAAAAAAAAAAGGGCCTGGCGCGGTGGCTCAAGCCTGTAATCCCAGCACTTTGGGAGGCCGAGACGGGCGGATCATGAGGTCAGGAGATCGAGACCATCCTGGCTAACACGGTGAAACCCCGTCTCTACTAAAAAAATACAAAAAACTAGCCGGGCGAGGTGGCAGACGCTTGTAGTCCCAGCTACTCGGGAGGCTGAGGCAGGAAAATGGCGTAAACCTGGGAGGCGGAGCTTGCAGTGAGCCAAGATCGTGCCACTGCACTCCAGCCTGGGTGACAGAGCAAGACTCTGTCTCCAAAAAAAAAAAAAAAAAAGCAAAAATTAGCTGGGCGTGGTGGTGGGTGCCTGTAGTCCCAGCTACTCAGGAGGCTGAGGCAGGGGAATCACTTGAATTCGGGAGGCGGAGGTTACAGTGAGCCAAGATAGTTCACTGCACTCCACCTGGGTGATAGAGCAAGACTCTGTCTCAAAAAAAACCAACAACAAACGAAAATAAAGTTGTAAAACAATGAGAATAAATAGAACAAAATGTACTTTATATCACTTTTTAAGCTGCCATGTCAAAAATTTAAAGAAATTTTGAAAGTCAGAAATTATGAAATTTCTCGGTGGCTAAGAGATCTGGCCTTATCAATCTATAAAGTAAAAATGTGTTCTGCCAAAAAAAGTGTTTTACATACGCAATCTCTTCTTTCTAATATCAAGCAGTTTTTCCTCTAAATCCCAAGATTCCTGTTATTAAAAATAAAAAAGTTAAAGCACATCACTGTAGGTAAGGACAAACATGTAATACTTAAATCACTGAGTTTTATCTACTAGCCTTAGTTATCTAAAGTTCCAGTTTTCAGTTCCTCTATTTCCACACAACAAAAGGAAGACAGTAAATTAACTTTTAAGTAGATAATGTTCAACATTAGTCAGAAATAATATAATTTTGAAAAAAGACAGAACTTAAGAACAGCGAATTCCAATCATAGCATTCCCTTTGGACAATCCTATTTAATCATATACATTACAGTTACCAGCAAGAAGTTGAGAGTAAAATCATGAGAATGCATAATCAGCCTAATGTGTAAGTTTACCTGCTGTGATTTCATTATTAATTTATTTAGCTCTAATAGGTGTTTCATGTTATCCATGAGCACACTGAAAAGGAAACAAAAAGATGATTTATTAAGGTTATTTGTAACTTAATTAAAAATATCTGTCATTAATGAAGGAATCAATGAGTGAAAACTTACTTTCATTAAATCTACCATACACTTGGATAAAAAGTCAGTTTAACAAAATAAATCTGGAAAAGTTTGATGTAATCCAAATTTCTGTTGAAACTAGAGATGCATTTCCCTAGAAAAATGTTTGGTCACAGATATTGAAGAATACCAAATTTAAAAATGTGGGAACATTTCTAAAAATTTCATATTTAGAGAGGAAATACCCTGATAACTTCCTAACAAGCTGCTTTTGCTTTGAATTTATTTTTTAGAGCAATTTTAGTTTTTGTTTTGAATTTATTTTTTAGAGTAATTTTAGTTTCACAGCAAAACTGAGTGGAAGGTACAGAGATTTCTCATATACACCCTGCCCCCAACACATGCACAGCCTCTCCCATTATCAACATCCCCTACCAAAGTGGCACATTTGTTACAATCAACAAACCTATATCGACACATCATTGTTACCCAAAGTCCGGATTTTACATCAAGGTGCACTCTTGCTTGTGTATATTCTATGGGTTTGCTCTTGTGACAGGGTCTCGCTCTGCCACCCAGGCTGGAGTGCAGTGGCACAATCACAACCTCAACCTCCTGGGCTTAAGCGATCATCCTGCCTCAGCCTCTGAAGCAGCTGGGATTATAGGCATACACTACCATGTCCCACTAATTTTTAAATTTTTTGTAGACACGAGGTCTCCCTATATTGCCCAGACTGGTCTGGAACTCCAGGGTTGAAGCAATCCTCCCTCTTCAGCCTCCCAAAGTGGTAGGATTATAGACATAAGCTACTGAGGTCCTGCCCATTCTCTGGGTTTTGACATATGTATAATTACATGTATCCACCATTATTGCAGCATGTAGAATAGTTTCAAGGAATAAACTGCTTTTTACCTCTACTTCGACAAATATTTTTGAGTACTTACTACATGCTTTCAAGAACTATGCCAGGTGCCAGGAATGTAAAATAAAATAAAACACAGTATCTGTTTTCAAAGAGGAAAGAATCTAGTGGAGGAGAAAAATAAAACCACAATCATACTGTAGTGCAGTAACAAACATGAACCAAAGTTATGCACAAAGTGGAATAAGGACATAAAGTAATTACCTAGATCAAGTAGTTTGGTATGGTGGGAGTAAAAGGGTGTGGAATAAGACTGGGCAAAGCAGTGGCTCTCATACTTCAGAGTGCCACAGTCACATGGGAGTCTTGTTAAGTGAGGATTCCTAGTCCCCAAACTTCAGATATGCTGATTCAAGGCCCGGTTCTATGGCTCATACCTGTAATCCCGGCACGTTGGGAGGCTGAGGCAGGAGGATTGCTTGAGTTCAGGAGTTTGAGACCTGGGCAATATAGCAAGACTACATCTCTATTTAAAAAAAAAAAAAAGAAAAAAAGCCAGGTACAGTGGATCCCTTGAAGTCAGGAGTTTGAGATTAGCCTGGCCAACATGGCAAAATCCCATCTCTACTAAAAATACAAAAATTAGCCAGGTGTGATGGTGTGTGCCTGTAATCCCATCTACTCAGGAGACCAAGGTAGGAGAATCGCTTGAACCCAGGAGGCAGAGGTTGCAGTAAGTCAAGATCATGCCACTGCACTCCAGCCTGGATGACAGAGAAAGATTCCGTCTAAAAAAAAAAAAAAAAAAAAAAAGATATGCTGATTCAGAAAGTTTGGGATAGGACCAACAATGTGATCATTAAAATAGACATTATTCTGATAATCAGCCAGGTGTGAAAAACACTGTAGAAGCAACTAACTGAGAAGGCCAAAAGGGGGAATCTGCACAAACCTGGGAGAGCTGAACTCATTTTTTTTTACTATTTACAGCTATATTTGGTTGTCTTAAAAGATAAATTTAGGCATATTAAAATGTAACAACTTTATTTTACCAGACAATTCATGCATCTGGCGGCACAGGATTGTAAGCTGTTTAGTGGTCTACTGTGGGAGTTGAGTGAGGAAGCTTTTATAAGGTGTTCATAGAAGAAAGACAGAAAATATAATTGGTTGGTTAAAGTGGAGCATCTCTAGGTAGAGGTTAGTTGGCAGTTTCTCATTGGGTAAGCTTAAGCTCCATTTTACTGTTAACAGGCTTGCATAGGAACCCCAAGGTGCTGGAGCTTAAGGCTAAAGATGGTTCAGCCTAATGGCATTCTAGTTGTATCCCAATTAATTTTTTTTCTTAACAGTTGTAAACTTTAAAATGTGCTGATAAAACACTGCCTTAGCTTATTTGACCTTTCTGGTTTTTTTTTTTGAGACAGTCTCACTCTGTTGCCCAGGCAGGAGTGCAGTGGTGCAATCTCAGCTCACTGCAACCTCTGCCTCCTGGGTTCAAGCGATTTTCCTGCCTTAGCCTCCCAGGTAGCTGGGATTACACGCGCCTGCCACCATGCCCGGCTGATTTTTGCATTTTTAGTAGAGATGGGGTTTTACCATGTTGGCCAGGCTGGTCTCGAACTTCTGACCTCAGAAGATCCGTCTGCCTCAGCCTCCCAAAGTGCTGGGATTATAGGCGTGAGCCACCGTGCCAGGTCTGACCCTTCTGTTGTTTTTTGGTGTCAACAGTGAAACTGGCCCAATTGTCCCACAGAACTAATGTTTATGATTTCTTTTGAATAAAGAGAAACTGACCCTCCCCGTATTAAAACTTGAGAAAGTTACAATTGTCTTATCTGAGTTCCTTTCTCAGGAAACCAACCATCAGGCCTCCCAGATAGTATCAAAGAACTGAAACTTACAAGATCACACCCTCTGGACAATAAGAATCAGACCTCTCACCCATCAGGACCGCCTAACCAACTACCTGCTTCCTATTGACTAACTCCTCTTCCTTACCCCTCCCTAATTCCTGTTTTCCCATACATGGTTACATATCTTCCCTGCTATAAAAACCCTTAATTTGGCAGAGTGTGGTGGTTCATGCCTGTAATCTCAGCACTTTGGAAGGCCAACGCAGGTGGATCACTTTGAGCTCAGGAGTTCGCGACCAGCCTGGGCAACAAGGCAAAACTCCATCTCTACAAAAAATACAAAAATTAGCCAGGCACGGTGGCGTGTGCCTGAGTCCCACCTACTTGGGAGGCTGAAGTGGATTGCTTGAACCTGGCAGGTCGAGGCTGCAGTGAGCCAGGATCACGCCACTGCACTCCAGCCTGAGCAACAGAGTGAGGCCCTGTCTCAACAAAACAAGACAAAACAAAACACCCTAGATGGATTTAATTTTAGTCCATCTAGGAGGTGAGACTGATCTCCCCTCTCCTTGGCTATAGTACTCAAAGCCTTCTTCCTGACAATACTCATCTCAGTGATTACATTTCTGTGCAGCAAGCAACAGAACCTAGACCGAATCCCTGACATTTCAGTAACAATATGATGAATCTGTCCTGATGTCCTGCACCCTACACCTTAAACTCAATAATGTTCTTTTTTTTTTGTCCTGAGATGGGGTCTCACTACTGCCCAGGCTAAGGTGCTGTGGCAAGATCACAGCTTACTGCAGCCCGATGACCTCCTAGAATCAAGGCAGGAGGCTGATCCTCTCCCCTCAGCCTCTGGAGTAGCTAGGACTACTGGTGACTCCACCACGCCTGGCTAATTTTTAAAAATTTTTTGTTGAGCTGAGGCCTCCCTATGTTGCCCAGGCTGATCTCAAATGCCTGGGCTCAATCTATACTCCTGCCTCAGGCTCCCAAAGTGTTGGGATTATAGGCATAAGCCTCTGTACCCAGGCTAAACTCTCCTTTTATGGGAGAGAAAAAGTTATGAGTGTTCAAATTCAGATTTTTGGATTTATGTAATCCTGGATTTAGCTGGAATATGGGGAAAACGTGTATCAGTGTGGGCTAAGATACTCAAGATAAAAGTGCCTAGATCCAGACCAGCCTGGCCAACATAGTAAAACCCCGTCTCTAAGAAAAATACAAAAATTACCCGGGTGTTGTGGCAGGTACCTGTAATCCCAGCTATTCAGGAGGCTAAGGCATGAGAATCGCTTGAACCCGAGAGGTGGAGGTTGGAGTGAACTGCACTCCAGCCTGAGTGACAGAGCAAGACTCCATCTCCAAAAAAAAAAAAAAAAAAAAAACAGTGCTTAAACCCATCTTGGAATTTTTCTGGTGCTCAAGGGAAGAAGGGGCTATTTTATCACAAGAGCTTTGAGAGATAAGACCTCTGAGGCCAGATATCAGGATACAGAAGACCTGACCTGCTAGTCTTTTACATTACATCCCTTGGGAAATTGTTTGATCCGAACACGCTCATTTCTACCAATAAAAAATGAGGAGTACATTTCCTATCTCATTGGGTTTTGGATGCATTAAATGAGATAGCCCTGTTCCTAATTTATAGTAAATACTGAAAAAAAATGAACTTTTAAAGCTTTCCCTTAAATTTTTCCAATCTTCTGGATAAACTCTTCTGCTTCTTACAGTTACGATCCATATAGAACAAAATATCATTAGAACTATAGAAGTTGCTGTAATTTTGGGGAGGGCCTACAAAAATTTCATCACTTTCCTTATTCCCCAGATAAAGGTAGTTTGCAGTAACAATTTTTTAAAATTCACAAAACTAAAGTCACTATGCAAATCCCATCCTTACTGAATCCAGAGAAAAAGAAAATCATACCTAGACTGGGTGCTAATTTTCTCCAGGTTTTTTTTAAGTGCAGCTGAAAGTCTCATCCTATGAGAGGGAAAAAGCTTGCATTATAAAACATGGATAACATTTGTGGTACATTAAAAAAAATTCCAAACATGACAAAGATTGATTTCCCTTCAAATATACATAAAACAGAAGTAGGTTTTAAAATATTATTACATAAGAAATACTTTGAGAAATAAAACATAGAAATATGAAATAACACCAAGATGGATAGGGCTGTTGCATGTGGGTATACACTGCCAGAATGAGGGGCCAGGTAAATCTGAAACCTGGCCTGAGCTGAATGAGTTCTCTGAACCATCAACTTTCAGTAGAAGGATTAAGCCACTAAAAAGATCAGGATGGGCCTGAAATAAAGGACTTAGGGAATACAAAACCATATACGGCTATAAACTTTAAAACATTTTTTTTTTTTGAGAGGCAGTCTTGCTCTGTCGCCCAGGATGGAGTATATAGTGGCGTGATCTCGGCTCACTGCAATCTCTGCCTCCCAGGTTTAAGTGATTCTCCTGCCTCAGCCTCCCTAGCAGCTGGGATTATAGGCTATACACCACCACACCCGGCTAATTTTTGTATTTTTAGTAGAGACAGGGTTTTGCCATGTTGGCCAGGCTGGTCTTGAACTCCTGACCTCAGGTGATCCACACGCCTTGGCCTCCCGAAGTGCTGGGATTACAGGCGTGTGCCACTGCACCCAGCCATGTTAGGTGTATTAAACGCATTTTTCACTTACCATATTTTCAATTTACAACGGGTTTATCAGGACCTAATCCCATTGCAAATTGAGAAGCATCTGTAATGCAAATTTTCTCCCAGGGCTCAAAATTTGTGTGACCAGGCTGGGTTTGTTTAATCCCAGCATTTTGGGAAGGCTGAGGCGAGAAGATTGCTTGAGCCTAGGAGTTCAAGACCAGCCTGGGCACAGTGAGACCCCCTCTCTATAAAAAATTTTAAAAATTAGCCAAGCGTGGTTGTGCATGCCTGTAGTCCCAGCTGCTCCAGAGGCTGAGGCAGGAGGACTACTTGAGCCTGGGAGGTTAAGGCTACAGTGAGCAGTGATCATGTTGCTGTACTCCGGCGTGGGCAAGAGTGAGACCTTGTCAAATTAAAAAACAGTAATAATAATAAAATTTTCGTGTGACCACTATCTAATCATCACTGTGCTTGACTAATTCATCCAGCCCAGTTAAAAGATTCCCTCTACTTTGCCCTCATACCCATTTTGCATTCAGTTCACAATGCTTATATTTAAAATGTAATAATTACCTGTCTAATGCAAGCTTTTTTATCTCAAAAGAAATTTTCACCTCTTCAATTTCATTTTCCAGGTCTTCAATTTTACTATCAAAGAAACATGAGCAAAAGAATATCAGCAATATCAGAAAAAGACATTATTGAAATGAATGTATGAAGAAAGCCCTTAAAAAAGTAAAACACCTCTATCTAAATAAAAGTGTTCTACAGGCTCAATATACCAATGTGTATTTACACATTTAGCAAACTAATGCCCCTGAGCTACTTCACTCAGTATCTTATAAAAAGGGAGGCCAGAAAGTTATAACGTGATCACTTGTGTACATATAAATCTCCATCCCAAATTAACAACTTCCCAATATATGCATCACAAGTTATCTGGAAAAATAAAGGAAAGGAAAAAGAAAAACGATGTTATAGCATAAAAAATGAGATTATGACCAGGCTCAGTGGCTCTTGCCTACAATCCCAGAACTCTGGGAGGCCAAGGTGGAGGATTACTTGAGGCCAGGAATTTGAGAACAGCCTGGGCAACAAAGTGAGGCCCCATCTCTACAAAAATTTTTTTTCTCAGGTGGAGTTTCGCTCTTGTTGCCCAGGCTGGAGTGCAATGGTGTGATCTTGGCTCACCGCAAACTCTGCCTCCTGGATTCAAGTAATTCTTCTGCCTCAGCCTCCCGAGTAGCTGGGATTACAGACATGTGCCACCACACCCAGTTAATTTTGTATTTCTAGTAGAGACGGGGTTTCTCCATGTTGGTCAGGCTGG